CTTTTATTTATTCGGCACGCTAAAAAAGAGAGCTGAAGGACGCGAATTCGCGAGTCCAGATGATCTTGAAAATTTTGTAAGAGAGCAATTTGAGCAATTTTCTCATGATGATTTAAAGCGTGTCTTTCAAGCCTGGATCGATCGCTGCGAACGCGTGATTGAATCCAATGGTGATTATATTTAAATAAACTTTATATATATGTAACTTGTTTATTTCTATTCGCAGTATTCAGGTTTGTGCTAAACACACCTTTGGACACCCTATATCAAAGAGAGTCATTATATAAATGTATACATTTGATTAGGAAAGCGATAAGATCATCAGCAAAATCATCGAGATCGATAGAACAAACAAAGCAAAGATACCCATTAAGTAAGATTTAAAGTTTGATGATGATAACACAAAGATTGTTATACTTCAAGAAGATATCTCAAATAGATGGATATCGGCGAATTTGTATTATCTTTTCTCAAAGAATACATTCAATATTTCTTCAAATGCATAAAACTACGAAATTTTAAGGCTGCACTTACACTCATCTGACTTTAATTCAAATTTTAAGATAATATATAATGATTTATAATAACTTTTCCCGACAAAAGATGTTAACTTTTTACCTTGACAAGCAAATAATACGATAAAATCACAAAAAATGTTAATTTATCAGACAACGATAGTTTGTACGAATGTATTCATATGAATGAACAAAATTCATAAAAATAAAACTTGATAAATCATTATGGATTATCCAACTCCAACTACTGATTTTCTTGATGGATCAACACATGATCACTTAATGTTACGGTTCCACATATGATTTAGATCATTCTCCTTAATATTTATCGAAGAAAAAAGCCAAATAATGAAATTTATTTGGTTTATGCCCGCTGAAGTCAATTTAGACCGGTTACAGTCCAAAGGATCCAGTAAAAATCACAATATTTTTACACATGGCCTTAATGAAAGCCAACAAGAATAGAATTCTTGCAAATTATTCAAAGAATTGTAAGTTTCATTGGCAAAAATGAATAAAGATATTGCTTATATACTATTTTAATTTACTAGCAATGATTTTTTGAGTCTTATTAAGTTTTTTTAAAAAATTAAATTATCTAAATTTACATATTTTTAAGTTTTTGTTTTGAATGCACAGCCCAAATATACTCAATGTAAGGATACTATTTATATTAATATTGGCTTCTAAATATCAAGGGTTACACCTTTTTGCCCCGTTTATACCTTTTTCTCCCGACTATATACTTTTGTGATGAAGAGAGGTACATCCATCTTTGTCTTTAGCATTGATATCTGCTCCATTTGAAATAAAAATTTCGGCTGTTTCTTTACTATTATATCTGGCTGCATAATGAAGAGGGGTACATCCATCTTTGTCTTTAGCATTGATATCTGCTCCATTTGAAATAAGAATTTCAGCTGTTTCTTTACTATTATATCTGGCTGCATAATGAAGAGGGGTACGTCAATTTTTGTCTTTAGCATTGATATCTGCTCCATTTGAAATAAGAATTTCGGCTGTTTCTTTACTATTATATCTGACTGCATAATGAAGAGGGGTACATCCAGCTACGTCTTTAGCATTGATATCTGCTCCATTTGAAATAAAAATTTCTGTAGTTTCTTTACTATTATATCTGGCTCCCCAATGAAGAGGGGTCAATCCATTTTTAGTTTTAGCATTGATATCTGCTCCATTTGAAATAAAAATTTCGGCTGTTTCTTTACTATTATATCTGGCTGCATAATGAAGAGGGGTACATCCATCTTTGTCTTTAGCATTGATATCTGCTCCATTTGAAATAAGAATTTCTGTAGTTTCTTTACTATTATAATCGGCTGCCCAATGAAGAGGGGTACATCCATCTTCGTTTTTAGCATTGATATCTGCTCCATTTGAAATAAGAATTTCGGCTGTTTCTTTACTATTATATCTGGCTGCATAATGAAGAGGGGTACATCCATCTTTGTCTTTAGCATTGATATCTGCTCCATTTGAAATAAGAATTTCGGCTGTTTCTTTACTATTATTATTGGCTGCCCAATGAAGAGGGGTACATCCATCTTCGTCTTTAGCATTGATATCTGCTCCATTTGAAATAAGAATTTCGGCTGTTTCTTTACTATTATTATTGGCTGCATAATGAAGAGGGGTCCATCCATCTTTGGTTTTAGCATTGATATCTGCTCCATTTGAAATAAAAATTTCGGCTGTTTCTTTACTATTATTCTGGCTGCACAATGAAGAGGGGTACATCCATCTTTGTCTTTAGCATTGATATCTGCTCCATTTGAAATAAGAATTTCGGCTGTTTCTTTACTACTATTATATCTGGCTGCATAATGAAGAGGGGTACATCCATCTTCGTTTTTAGCATTGATATCTGCTCCATTTGAAATAAGAATTTCGGCTGTTTCTTTACTATTATATCTGGCTGCATAATGAAGAGGGTACATCCATCTTTGTCTTTAGCATTGATATCTGCTCCATTTGAAATAAGAATTTCGGCTGTTTCTTTACTATTATTATTGGCTGCCCAATGAAGAGGGGTACATCCATCTTCGTTTTTAGCATTGATATCTGCTCCATTTGAAATAAGAATTTCGGCTGTTTCTTTACTATTATTATTGGCTGCATAATGAAGAGGGGTCAATCCATCTTTAGTTTTAGCATTGATATCTGCTCCATTTGAAATAAAAATTTCGGCTGTTTCTTTACTATTATCTCTGGCTGCAAAATGAAGAGGGGTACATCCATCTTTGTCTTTAGCATTGATATCTGCTCCATTTGAAATAAGAATTTCGGCTGTTTCTTTACTATTATATCTGACTGCATAATGAAAAGGGGTACATCCAGCTACGTCTTTAGCATAGAGATCTGCTCCATTTGAAATAAGAATTTCTGTAGTTTCTTTACTATTATATCTGGCTCCCCAATGAAGAGGGGTCAATCCATTTTTAGTTTTAGCATTGATATCTGCTCCATTTGAAATAAGAATTTCGGCTGTTTCTTTACTATTATTATTGGCTGCATAATGAAGAGGGGTCAATCCATCTTTAGTTTTAGCATTGATATCTGCTCCATTTGAAATAAAAATTTCGGCTGTTTCTTTACTATTATCTCTGGCTGCAAAATGAAGAGGGGGTACATCCATCTTCGTTTTTAGCATTGATATCTGCTCCATTTGAAATAAGAATTTCTGTAGTTTCTTTACTATTATAATCGGCTGCCCAATGAAGAGGGGTACATCCATCTTCGTCTTTAGCATTGATATCTGCTCCATTTGAAATAAAATATTCTAAAAGTGATGAAAGATGGAAATTCGGAGAATAAACAAAACATGCGTTGATGTCATTTGTTTGATCCAAGTAAACTAAAAATGATTGAAGATTATTGTATTTAGAGCACGATTCTAAATCAATTTCTATGTTGTGTTCATTCATCAAAAATGTTACGAAATCAATGTTGTGTGATATTATTGCATATTTCATGCATACATCATCTGGTTTTTGTACTTTCAAGCATTCATTCATAATGTCTTGATTTCCACTCAAAAACGAAAATCTAAGACAATCTGGAGTGATTTCTGATTGAAATTTCGTTATTAAGATCTTAAAACAATCAACAGATCCATGATAACAACATAATTCAAGTAATGAAAGACCTTCATTTGAATATGGATATAATTTACTTTTTAATTTTTGATTTTTATCAAATCCTTCTCTTTCTGTAAAATTTATCAATGATATTTTGTCATCATCCATAATAGATCAGTAAATTGTATTTTGTTCGTGAATATCAGATGAATAATGAGAATCTTCAAAATCGTTAAAACTTTTTTCCTCCTTTTCATTCAATACTATGTTGTATTCTTTGTAGAAAAGGTAATTAAAAACTGTGCTGATTTTGTTGACCTGATTTAGATGGTATTCGTCAACAATTTGTTTGGCAATCGCTAAATATGACTTCATGTAGCGGTTGTTATAAATTGAAAGTTCGGATATATCATTGATAATCACATCAGGCTGAATTTGATAAGAGTCAATCAGGTTTTGTTTGATTTTTTGTATATTGCGTTGAATTTTTCTTCGTCATTTGTTTTCAGCCTGTACAAAGTATTGTAGACATCATTATATCCTGTAAAAATCTCCATCAATTTGTCATAATGAGTTTGGTTAATTTCTCCCTTGGACATCAACCAAAAATATGAGATGTTAAAGACTTTTCAACCAAAAATTTTCCAATTTTCCACCAAAAATTTACTACCTTTTTTACACTTTTTGAGCTTCGCTCAAAAAGTGTAAAAAATGTTACATTCTTTATCTGCCTTCAAAATATGCAATGATCCTTTTTGCACTTTTAACGGTTCTATAGAAAAAGGAAAAAGTGACTAAAAATTGAATTGGCGAAAAATCAATTTTAATGAGCTTCATTTAATGATATTTTTTCAAAGAAGTTTTCAAAAAAGATCAATGGGCTATTAATTTATTTTCATTTCACCCTAACACTCCTTGTTTTTCACCATTCCAAATCAATTTTAGCTCAAATTGCATTTCTATTTTCCCCAGAAATTAGCTAACAGTCTCACCCACACCTTCTGTTCAATTTGTCAATGAAGGTTTAACCTACTTCCAACACAGCCTTTGACTTTATCCCATATTATCTTTATTATTTTATTAATTTTACTCAATTTTGTTTTATTTTGTTTTACTAGGAATAAAAACGTCGCCATATTCAATTTTTAGTTACTTTTTTCTTTTTCTAAAAGAACCTTAAAAGTGCAAAAAAGGGCCTGCAAATTTTGAATGCAAAAGAATTTCCAATTCTCCACCAAAAAAATTTAAGCGTGTCAAAAAAATTTGAGAGAACCCGGAAAGTGCACCCAAAAGGGTTATTGGATTTATTTCTTTAAAACTATTAAGTATTTCAATTTTACATAAGCAAAAAGTAATGATGTATCAAACACAACTCTAAACAAAAATTTTATTGAAATCTATCAGCGTATTCAAAGCCGTTATCTATTGCGTCCTTAATCATCTGCTTTGTTAACTGCTGATACAAGTAAGGAAGTGAGAAATATTCCTTCAAATTATTGCATGCGCAAAGTTCTTTGATTCCAATAGGAATATAGTTAACTCCTGTATGTTTAACTATATCTCCACCAAATGTATAACACTCTGCATCCATAGGTCTGGCCTCAATCAGTGTTGCCCGTTCAGATAAAAAGATTCCGAGGCAAACTGTTGTTAAATGACTGGCCATGAAGATATTTGCGCTATGAATCTCATCAGCGATCTTATACATAGGCTGGTCAAGCACCAAAGGAATGATTTCTGCATCAGGATATAATTCCGAAATCGTACTATTGAATTGGTTCATGAAATGCTTGTCAAGGATGATCCTCTTCTTCTTAAATTCCGAATGGGAGTAGCGATCTCTGAAAGAACGGAACACTCCACCTGGATATCTCATAACTTGTTCGTATTTAGCGATCATTCCGTCCATATCATCGATATCAAAGTACGGTTGGTTATAAGCATGCGAACCCTGGTTGTTTAGGAACCTTCCGAGCCTGTAACATTGTGGTTTATTGATTAATAATTTATCTCCTGCAATTCTTGCAAACGTTTCCTTTGTTTCGTTATTGAATCTGAGAGTCCTGATCTTAACAGGCTGATCTTCAATACCCGTGAACGCGTTGTACCAAACGGGAAGGAGATAATCGAATAATAACATCCATTTTTCGGATGTTGACGATGCAGCGAATACGACTGGCTCGTCAACAAGTTCGTAGTTCTTGTTTTCTGAGAGAAATGCGGGTAATGATGTATGATTTGTTTGGATTGAAATGAAATCTGAAGCTCCAACCTGAATTGGACGTAATTCCATGGCTGGCGGGGACAAGAATATGATATCTTCGTTCTCATCTACACAAAAGTCGCTTAAAACAGCAGGAAACTGAGAATTTGAAACAATTCTGCTCCAACCCATTGGAAATACTTTAACTGTTGGTATATTGACTTCGCTTTCTCCAAGTAGATGCTTCTGGCAGTATACGCTAGCTTTTGCAATACCACTTACCGTTTGAAGGATACAAAATGAAATATTTGGATAAGACTCGTTCAAATCCCAAAATTGTTTATTGGTGTATGTCGCAGTCGAAATAGGAGTTTCGATATTTATATGAATTAAAGATGGAGCGATGATTCGAGGATATTCAATAAATTCTTCAATTTCGAGATTTACGAATATTTTATTATCATTTGTAGATATGGAAAGTAATCTGATATTGTTGCAATCGACAGCTTCTCTTGTTGTATCAATCAATGAAGTGTTTGCAGTCTGAAATTTTCTATTCGATAAAATAAAGACTAAAAATGCAATTAACACAAACCACGATGTCTTGTAATATGCAACCCATGATTGTGTGAATGGATCTTGAACTTCTTTTTCTGGATTTGCTTTTTGTTTTTCTTCTTTTGCTGGTTTCGGAGGTTGCTCAGCTGGCTGCTCTCCTTCTGCTTCAGGAGGAGTTACATTCAGTCTTTCTTGAGATTTCGAACGTTCTGGGGACTTATCTAAACCATGTTTTTCGATCATAATAAATTTAGAAAAAAAAATTATGAAAACGCGTGTTATGAACTTCAAAGAATTTATAGATAACGTACCAGTGAAAAAAGCATCATATAGCGAAGTACTTATTGCTATGGCGGAAAGTAAACAAATTACTCAACAAAAACCAACAGAATATCAGACATTCAATAGAACCAACCCATTAATGGAAAAGAAACCAGAAAAGCGACCAGAAAAACGTCAGGCAATACCATGGACTCAAGAGGAAGTTGATGCAATAGAAGATGGTGTTAAAAAATATGGAATTGGACATTGGACTCTTGTATATGAATTGCATAAGGACATATTCATGAAAAATGAAAGAAAGTCTAGTGACGTTGGTGATAAATGGAAAAATATGAAAACAAAACCACAATATCAAAAATATATTACTGAAGATAAAAAAGCGCATCCAAAAACTGTAAATCCGCCACAAGAACCAAATAAGCCAGTCGCTACATTAGTTGTACCAACAAATTCGCATCCTAATGCAATTCCGAATCCAAAGCAATAAAATGCGTACAGAATGTATCCATGCTGTTGCTATTTTTAATTTATATATTGTTTGTAATATTATTAAAAGCTAATACGCTTAATTGATTCATTATTGTTTAATTCCTTCGAGTAATGTTCAATAACTATCAGTCTAACTATTGCTATATCTGAATCTCTTGCATATTTAAATGAACAATGGGCAATTCTACCCTTATTGTTTGATTGAATAAAAATTTTGGTTGAATCATTCTTGAAGCCAAGTTTTTTCTTTCATTAATCAATGAGTGACAAGAATCATGATACATTTATGCAGTTACGGTGAATTTTTTTATCCATACCCGTTGATCAAAATTGTCAGAGCAAATTTTTAAATAATAAAGAAAATCTACTAAGCAATATATGTAAAGTTAAATTTCCTAGTTTTCGGTTATTCATCGGACCGACTTTTTTGTCACGTAAAATAAAATTTGACCAATCCAAAAATTTTTAATTCATGCAGACACAAGATGATTCTCCAGACAAAATGGTTGCAATAACAGAGAAGAATCGATTATTAGTCAACCATGTTGCAATATATTTAGGGATTAAGCTTATAATTTTCTTAACGTTTATTCCATTACCATTTTTAGTGCATAATACTGGAATTGTTTTTGCAATACTTATGATGCTAGAAGTATTGCAATTCTTTTCAACTAAAAACATTAGCGGGCTACATCTCGTCGGTCTAAAATGGAATTTTATGAAACCTAACGAAAACGGCGATTATGTTGAATATTACGTTCGACCACCTCCATTTATTCCAAGTACTTCACAATCAAACTTATTCTGGTTAGGATTTTTCATATCAATAGTTTATTGGGTTTGTTCATCAATCATCTACGTTATTTTCATGAGGTTTGTAGTCCTTGCTTCTTGCCTCATTATATTATTTTTCGAACTCCTCAATTTTTATTTCTTTGCACAAGCACATTTATATGCAAAACAAGCCTCAGAAAATGAAATTGCATCAAAATTCTTCGATGTTGGACCAACAGATGCTATTACTGCTCCAGATCCAGAAAATCCTGATGCACAAAGTAATATTCCAGATATAGACGATAACATTGATGAAATACCAAAGGATGAAGATATAGAGCTTAAACCTGTTAAGACAGAATAAGTTTCAACTATCATGTATGTTAATAAAAATGTATTATTTTCTTTCCAAAAAAATATTGTTATTTCACATTCCTCTTTAATAGTTTATGTGATTTTCGTCTCATTGATCTTTTGAGGTGGACCATAAGCAATGAAAGTACTTGATGAAGGCTAATAGAGCTATAATTATATAATATGTTTTGCATTACAATTAAGTTTCTATTAATGTGTCAGTAGAAACACTAGACAACCATATTTTAAAAAGCTATAATAAAATTCTCGGAATAAATAATAATATTAAGAGCATAAGCTCGAAACAATACATTTAGGATCTATATTTCCCTCAAAATATTGATAATAATCACATGAAAGAATGATTACAAAGAATATTATTGTGATTATCTATACAAAACAATTTCATTATAATGGAATGTATAACTTTAATTAGATGCTATTATAATAGCAGAATATCATCCCGAGAGTTGGAAGCTAAGTGAATATTTTTCAAATGTGCAGGAATTATTCATTCATATTGATAATTTGTCTATGATTTTGTAGAATATAAACCATTAAAGATATACTAGCTTATGCTCTACTGTGAAATATATCAGAAACTATTTATGTGACTTCAAAAACGAGCAAAAATTTTTTTGTTTAGAAATAAAAGTGACATGAATATCCGTTATAAATAAATGTCAACTCAACCAGCAGCAACAAACGCACAGACCGGCCCAACAGCCGAAGATCGCGCAATGGTCAATGTTGTCAAAACAGATTGCAGTGAAGAAGTAACAAACCGTATTAAAGCTGAATGTCAAATGTGCGCACAAAAATTCAACACACAGAGAGAAATGGCAGAATATTTAAAGAAAACTATGGATAAGCAATTTGGTCCAACATGGAATGTTATTGTTGGCCATCATTTCGCCTCAAATCTTAAACATATTGCCGGCAACTTTGTATATCTTTACATAGATCAATTAGGTTTCCTCTTGTTCCAAGCTCAGTAAAATGAGAAGTTTATTTAATATTCATAAAATACTTTTTGGTTTATTTATATAAAAAAATCATTAATTACATTTTTGCAAATAAAAAGTTAAAAGAATTTCCAGCATAGCTAGTTTATAGCTAAATAGAATATTCAATCTTCTCCAATATCCTAAATTCTTATTGATACTTTTTTATAAATTTCTGTAATATGCTTTATCAATGAGCATCTTGAGTTGCACATAATTATATATATTATTGGAACATATTGTCTTTGTGATATCTTTAAAATTGGGATGGAAGTAATAGTTAGGAAACACATGGATTTCAGGATTGTCAGGATAATGCTGTCTATGCAAATGATAAGGATAGAAAAAGCTCCTATGAAAAAAAGTTGCGATAATCGAACTCTATTAGCTTGCTGCTTTATTAGATGATGCTTTTGGAACAGCAATATGCTATCAAAAATAGGCCCACATATCCAACTTTAGTAAATCACAAATTACTCATAGATTTGACTGGTTAATTTATAAATCACCCTCAAATGTTTAGCAAGTCGACTGGTTACTTATTTTCACATCATATGACATGTCATATAACAAATTAAAAACTGATTTTGTAGGTTCATAGTTTACGTTTAAAATTTTGTTGTAATAAAAAATTTGTGAATAAAAATTTTACATGCGTGGAGATACTTCTGAAACAAAAGTCTTATTTTCAATAGAAAACTTGCCTCAAATAGGAGAATTTTACAATGTTAAGTCCAAGCTATCTGAAGACGATTTAAGCTCTTTCTCCGAGCAAAATTTAAGTTCGAAATTTATCATTGTTGGTGACTCAGGTGTTGGTAAATCATGCTTACTCAACAGAATTGCACACGATGAGTTTTCTGCTGAATATAAATCTACAATTGGTGCTTCTTTCACTTCTGCGGAATGTCTTATTAATGGTAATCGTGTAAAAATGGCTTTATGGGATATGGCAGGTCAGGAACAATTCACCTCTGTTAATAGGCTTTACTTTAGAGGTGCAAACGTTGTTTTCTTATGTTTTGATTTAACAAGTCAAAAATCATTTGATAATGCTTCTCGCTGGCTATCAGTTGTTCACGAAAATACTTCAAATGTTCATGCAATCTTCCTTGTTGGCTGTAAATCAGATCTCACAAAGGTAGTTGATGATAAAGATATTTCCAGATTTTGCACCGATAACAGATGTGAATATTTCGAAACATCCTCAAAGGAATCTAAAATGACAACAGAATTAGCTAAAAGATCTATTTTCGTTGCTGCAATTTCAATTCAACAGTTAAGACAGCAGGCGCCTAAGCAAAAAGTAGTAACTGAGCAGCCAAAACCAGTGAATCTGGCTCCACCACCAGAAGAAAAGCCAAAGAAGAAATGCTGCTAAAATTTATATTTGTTTTATATATTATTTGTAAATACCGCGAAATTATCTAAACTATCACACGATTATCACTATAACTATAGTGTGCTCATAGTAAAATGAAAATAAAATAAAGTAAATAAATATTTAGGAAAAAGAATCGTTGAACAGTCGAACAGTGATGACCTTGCGTCTTTCATTTATTGTTTTAAGGTTGCGGTAATTCAATATTGAATGTTCATTTAGTCTACAGATTAAGAATCCATTTTCATATTATTGTTTAAATTAAGCTCCAGTATATCTTAATATCTTTTAATTTGCTTGAATGGGTATTAGATTGTGATATGTCAATACTAATATCTGAAAATTTAGAAAAATTATTTCAAAATTAGTGCAGTTGAATTGAATTCTTGTAAATTTTCTTATTGTATAGTCAAATGTAAGTTTATCTACACTACAATTAGAAGAAACTTATTTCATGAATTTTTGGACGTTTTTTTCAAAATCGAATGTCATCAACAGCGCTGAACACGCTTGAGCCGTTTAGTACGCTTGGTATGACTGGCATTGCGGGAACAGGACCGCATTATGTAAATGATGCTTCGATTGTTTTGCCTGCTGGCAATCAAATTATTCAGCAATCAATCGATACAGGCGAAAGAATGATATTATTCGGAAATAGAATAACATCAAATGAGCCACGCAATGAAGAACTCACAGCTTTTGCGGTCTCTCATGATTCAACATACCTCGCTCTCGCTGCATTAAGAAAAGATGTCGAACCTGTTATAAATATTTACTATTTACAGAAACAAACATTATACGCATCACTTCCACAACCAAAATCAGTTCGTATTTTCTTTGCAACGTTCCATATGAAACAAAAATTACTTTTATTTGGCGTAAGTTATCCGCGTACCCACTCTCTCATCATATACGATTTAACTACAAAGCAGGAGATAAAGAACGTCAGCATACCAGCTCCTTTCATTAGCGCGAGTTTTAACCCAGATCAAAGTGATTCATCGGTTATCTTCCATACAGCAACAGATTTATATTACGTAGGAAGTGCCAGTAAGACAGCTACTAAAATTGACTGTCCAAACTACAGTAAATTCACTGGTTTTGTATATTCACTCAATGAAAGAAATGTTTGCATTGCAACATCAGGCAGAGATCTTATTTTCTACCAAGATTTCACATTTAGCCATACAATGACAATAACAGAAGAATCTCCAATTATTTATTTTGCAACTTTCAACCATGGACTTGTTGCAGCAACAGAAAACTACAAATTAATACTATTCCAACACATTTCTGTACCTAAAGATCTCGCCAGATCATTCCAACAAGGTCCAATTGTTACATATGGCATGAAACATCCAATTGTATGGACATCTTTCTCTCAAAGTGCGCATCAAATGGTTATTGATGTCGATCACAGACAGTTGTTGCTTGTGAATATGAGAGAATTCGAATCAAACCCTGATAATGCAATTATTAATCCGAATATTGTATCTCATAAAGGTCCAGTCGTTGCTATTAGCTCATGTGCATACAAACCAATGCTTGTAAGTTGCGGCCAAATTGATAGAACAGTTATCGTTTGGGATTATTCGAAGCAAGCAAGCGTTTTATATCACGAATTCCCTGAAGACCTCAAGGATGTTGCATTCCACCCTAGTGGAGACCTTATTGCCGTTGCTTCAAGTGATAAATTATATCTTATGACCGTAACAGTTGATGATTTGATACAGAGAGCTGAATGGCCGCTTTTCAACTGTCTTTCCATACAGTTTTCCAATGGTGGCCACTTCTTAGTTGCAGCATCTCATATTATTACTTTCATTAACCCATATACACAAGAAATTGTTGCCACTCTCCGTGCTCACACGGGTCTTATCAACAGCCTTGGCTTCTCCCCAGACGATAAAAAGCTTGTTAGCTCCGGAAGCGATGGAAAAATTGTTGTTTGGAGCGCTGTTACTCAACTCCCTGAGTGGTCGCTTGATATTCCAAAGGCAAACTTTGTTTCTTCCGTTATTAGCCACAGAGGAACTGTAATTGCTGCTGCAAAAACAAACGTAATCCACCATTTGTTCTCTCAAAGAAGACATATGAGAATAAGTGAAGCAGAAATTGGTTTCACAGCTGTACTTTTCGCAAGTAACACTTGCATTATTTTAGGAGATATCCTTGGTGGCATCACCGTTGTTCCATTCCCATTCATTGTCCCATCAAGCCACCAAAGCGAATTCGAAAACATTCCTCAGCTTGAGTTTTCGGATGGTTCTGCCACAGAAGATAACAAACCTGTCAGAACTATACCTTTCCTTAGTGGACAGACCTTCAAATCACATTGTGGAGAGGTCACAAGACTTTGTTCCTCCCTCGACAGCAAAGTTCTCTTTACATCTGCCACTGATTCCTCCATTTGTGTCTTCAACATTCTCTCTGCTAACCAAACTGTTACTCAAAGTCGTATTCCTATATTGAGATGCGATATTCCATGCCAGCAATTCTTCCTTGTTCCTCAATCAAGATACGATGAATTGCAACACGGAATTGAGAAACTAAAGAGAGATATCCAGTCACAACAGAATGACTACGAACAGAAAACAATCGAGAGTTTACGTGCCCACCAAAAGAATTTAGACGAATTACAACGCCAACATCGCGAAAAGAAGGAAAAACTCAATCAACAGATAGAAGGACTCATGGCCGCAATGAACGATTCAACGATCAAGGCCGCTCTCATTTACCAAAACATGGAAGCCGCTCATATGAATGAAGCCAAAGTTCTTACAAACTTATACGAACAGAAGTTGAGTTTAGAACGTTCCAAATGCGATGGCCTTCAGAAAGAAGTCGAAGACTTGAAGTGCTCTTACGAAGAAAGAATTTATTTGTTACAACAACAGTATAAATCGAGTCTTGAAGAGCTTGGAAACAAAATTTACTCAAAACAAAGCCAGTTACAAAATGATTTGGATGAAACAAATAAAACAATACAGAAAGAAGATGACGACATGAGTGACAGAATGATTGCTTTGGAAGTAGAATTCGATCAGGACAGAATGATGATTGACCTGGAATTCCACAACAAAGCAATTGAATTACATAATTTGGAGAAAGAACTGAACGCAAAAGTCGAAGAATTGGCAACAGAAATCGACAAACAAATACAGATAATTAGCAATGATAATGAGAGATTAAACACTTTAAAGGATGAACGCGCCAAAGAAGAAAAAGAAATCAAAGCACAACAACATACTTTGGAATGTAAAACAAGTGAATTACATGATAGAGAAGAAACATTACAGAGACAAGAAAATAACATAGAAAGACTTGAAACATCCAACAACGAGTTGACCAAATTCAAAGGCCTTATGAACAGAAGAATTGAAGAAATGTCTGCAGAATTACAACCAACAAAAGATGAAATTGTCAGACACAGAGCGGAATTGGATGGAACAAATGAAGAAATTAGAACAAACATGAGATCATCGCAGGCTAAACACAGAAAGATGCAAGATAAACAGCATCAAATCGATGTGTTAAAGACAAAATTGGCTGAAGCACAAACAGCTTTAGCTAAAAAGAGAAGAGTTATTCAGATATTTACAGCTGATTTAAGAGAAGGAGTTTCGAGATCAACAATTGATGAAAGAACAAGTGTTTTGAAGGAATTACATGATAAATACGTTGCTGTCCATGACTTGGAAGAGAACATTAAAGATGCAAATGATACAATCAATGAGAACACGAGACAAAGAAAGCATCTCCAAGAATCAGTTATGTTACTTCAGAAATCTGTAAATCAACAAAAAACGACAACAATGAAACATTTCGAAGCGAAATCTGCAGAAAATTCACAGTTGTTGTCGGATTTGAACGCAATACAGAAAGAAAACAGAAGCTTAAGGAAGAGATTGGATTTGGTCCTTGCTGACGTTGATATGCTTCAGTCGAATTTGAAGAGAGTTCAAGCAACAGCGAGAGAACAATCAATTAAAAGACAAAGATTGGCTCATTCTGCAATGCAACAACAGAGCAGAGTAACAAGTGATTGGGTTAAGAAGAATACTTCCGGAAAGACAATGACAGGCATTTCTGTTGCTGATGGTCGTGGTAAGTATTTGCACTCAAAGTAATTGTGATTTATTTTTTTTTTATTATTGTTTATTTTATTTATTTTTTTGAATAAAAGTTTGTTTAATTCTATTGCTGTTTTGGTTTTTCCATCGATGTGAAAACTTTTTAAACACCGCTGGAGAATGATGAAAGGATATCTGCTTATAAAGATATAATTCGACAAATTTAGGAAATATTATTTGCAAGATCAATAATACTTTTTTTCATCATACTTATTTTAAAAGACATCTTCAAATTTGATAAGTAAATAATGTCAAATTGTCATTTGAATGATATTTCGAAATTAATTTGAAAATTCAATAATAAAGTATAAGAATGAATAATGAATTGTTGAAAACCACTTAATAGCTTTATATATCACCTTATGAATTTCCCTGATGTATGAAGTAGACGTTTAGAATATAAAATGTGACAATTTGAGTAAAAATATAAAAAAATAATATGAGGGGAAGAAATCTTTTTAATATGGCATCACACAATAAAGCAGTTAAAGCAGCAGTTCCAAATGCACCAAAGAAGAAAGTTGTTATGCGAGATTATCCACTTAATTACAACCCACGTATTTATTCAACAACTGAGTTACGTCGAACAACAAAGAAAGAAGAGGAAAAGCCAATTGATAAAACTTCTAAGCGTGAAACAACAAGAAACAAGAAACTTGAATCTAAAATTCAAACAAAAGACCAAACTAAAACAAAAACACAAACTCAAAACGTTGAAATAAAAGTTGAAGAACAATATTTTGAAGATGAAAACATTAATGAAGAGCAAGAAAGCTTCCAGAGCGAAACCATTCTTGACAAATACACGAAATTAGTTGAATTATATCAGAAAGAGTTAGATCGAAGAAACGAGTTAAAGAACACACATGAAGATTTTCTTCACAAAATACACATTGCTTACTCAAACCAGATTAAGTTAGAAAGAGGTATAATTCCTTCATCGATGCAAGATCCACCTTCTCACACAGATGAAGAAGAGGATATTCATCAAGAAGAAGAAATTACTAAAGGAACAGAATAATTCAAAACATTTTAAAATCATTGTTCTGTACTAAAACGATATTTTTGTATTCCAAATTATAGTATTTTAGCATTTAGAAAATTTGATAAATAGTTGAGAGATTTTACGGACTTCAAAACAATATGAAAAAAATAAATTGCCAATTGTGTATTGGGATTTATGGCGCCGCATTGGCAACATGCATGTAAATCTTTCTGGATATGCGATTCCATTTTTTTTTTTGAGACCCCGACAAATTTGCCCAGGGGCACTTTTTTCAAAAAAAATTCGACAGTTTACAAAATTAATTTTTTTGGGTTGTGCCATGGGCTGTTCTTCGCCTCAGGAGCCCCGAGGCTCCCAATCACTACGAAAGGGAGCCCCAGAGCTCCTGAGATTCCATCAGCAGAGGCCTTTTCCTTTGGCCTCTGCTGATTGCATAATCAGCGGAGCCATTCTTCGCCTCAGGAGCCCCGAGGCTCCCAATCACTACGAAAGGGAGCCCCAGGGCTCCTGAGATTCCATCAGCAGAGGCCTTTTCCCTTGGCCTCTGCTGATTGCATAATCAGCGGAGCCATTCTTCGCCTCAGGAGCTCCGAGACTCCCAATCACTACGAAAGGGAACCCCAGGGCTCCTGAACAAATTTAATAGACTATTAAAGAGATAATGAGAGGCCGGGATTCAAATAGTCTATCTATATGAACCCTGGCCTCTCACTATCTCTCTGAGTTGGTGAATAGCTGTCTGCATCTTATCTTATGCAGACAGCTTTTCACCCTTTTATAATATGGATTGGAGGCTACGAAGCACTGATATAGAATCACTGCTTCATAACCTCCAATCCATTAGCTAAAGTCTCCAAACTTTGGGTTAATGTCTTGACATTAACCCAAAGTTTGGAGACTTCAAAGAGATAATGAGAGGCCGGGATGCAAATAGTCTATCTATATGGCCCTGGCCTCTCACTGTCTCTCTAGGTCGAATCTATTTATCCAGAGCTGTTATGATTCATCCAATACCTCATGCCATTGTAAAGTTCTCAATTTTCTATCACGTAAACATTTTGACATGTAAACCCAGGCGTCACTTTTTGGAAAAGTGACACTGGGCAAATTTGTTACGAACTCTTTTTTTTAGCAAAAAAAGAATATTTTATTATAATACATTTAAAGGCATTATTTCTTTTTTGATGTTTTAAATTTTGAAAAAGTGCTAATGATCTGATTTTGTCAAAAATCAATTGATCAAATGCAGATTTACAGATGGAGTAAGGGTTTCGTTTTGCTAAAATTGTCACTTTTATAGCATATTTGTTTTTGGATGTTTTGCGAAACCAAAAAAAAAACTATGATATACAATGTGTGTGTAAAGAAAATACTTTATTTACTAGTTAAAAAATCATTTGGTATTGATCAAGTTATTTTTTCTGGATAAGATATTATATGGATAATTGGATAGAAAATACAATTATATAATCTTGTACCTGGTTTAATTAAGCTAATTGTCATCAGAAACTTGTAATTTTTATGAATTTCAGATTTTCTTTTCATTACTGCTTTTCTTAATAGGTCAAGTTCTTATTTACGCTATAAAGTATGATATTTACAAATATCAAGTTATCGTGTTTTTTGAGAAATTATGAGAAACAAACAAAAATGAAAAAGATAGGAATAGCAATGAATAGTGATGTGGGTATAGAAAATGTAAGAGATATGAATGCAAAGCAATCAGTATTTAGGACATTGACCATAGATTTCGAAAAAAAAATGCTGCATATTGAGCGAAAACTATGATTATATTATAAGGCTGTCATTTAAAGCATAATGAAACTATTCCCTTTTCATTTTAATCAAATAAGATAGTAAAGATTTTTGAATTAGCTAGAAACTGATGAGATGTTTTCACAAATCAGATTTTTAATCTCTATAATGCATAATTCACTCAATATCTCAATTTTGATATTGCGAGATATTTTTGCTATCGGTTTCGCAATTTTGACACAATAGCAAGAGGGTTCTATAAGCATTATTATCAACGTAGAATCTGAATATCATATCAGAAAATGTCGCAAATCTGACATTTACCCGACCAAATAGCAAAAATAATTGAATACTTTTCGCAAAAACTTTAAAAATCGATAAAAATATGAAATATAGATATTAAAGAGACTTTTTATATAATATTCATAAAGATTTTCCAAAAATATGATACCGCAAAATTAAAAAAGTGACGTCTTGAGTGGAGTCAAAGGTCGAAATTGCTAGCTAAATGTTTTTTTAGCGAAATTGCGTATTGTACGTTTTTTTCGCAAAACGAAACCCTTAGATGGAGTGGTTGGTTTTAATGAACATAATATTTACTTGATGTTTTAATTAGAAACGTTTTTTGTATAAAGTTCTCAAAAAAATTGTTTTGATATAAACCGCAAAAGTTCTGATCTCAATTTTGAGAAGCAAAAAGTTTCGGATAGAACATATGATAGTTATATTGGTATAGTACTTTTCAGCTGGTTATTAATTTAAACTAATTTCGGTTTTGACAAACTTTACAAAAAAATTTTTATTATGTTTTCCTTCCTTTGTTTAAAAAGCCCATTAATTAGAGAAATTCCTTCACCCCCTCAGACTCATTTGCAAAAACATCCAATTACAGCCGATTTCAAGCAAATTCAGCCAAAACCAGCAGTCATTTATGAAAATTCAAATCCTTTGGAGATTAGGAAGCCCCTTAAACTTGGCGATACAGGTGTTATGTTACCTGCAGAAAATGGTGCTTGGGAATGGTTTGTAGATATCTTCGGTCCAACACCAGTTCACGCCGACGAAGTTCACAAAAATTCAAGATTCATTTCTTCTACCAATAGTAAACCTTCAACAGCCACAGGACCAAGAGTTCCGATTAAGCCTCGTGGGCCCGTTAGACAATATTCTCAAAAACAAACGGATCATTTGAAACTTGTTGATACTGGCGTTCAATTATCTACAGAAAATTCTTATTGGGATACCTTCTTTCAAAGGGATGTAATGTCCTATGGTCCTCATCAAGGAATCTTTGGTAACTCCAAAAGCAAATCCTCATTTCCAGGAAAACTTCCTCATCCCGTGAGACCTCGTGTTATCACAAGAGCTCCACCTGTTGAAACATCTCAGTTTCAATCAAACATGGTCAATATCGCTGAATATGTAGAAAAGTGCAACGATCAATTATTCTCCGAACAATATCCTTATTTATGCAATGAAGTCAATAGACCAGGTTCATCTGAACTTTGGGGAAAATTCCCCAAGGGTAAAACTTCGCCAGTCAATCCATCCACTAAAATTAATATTCCTCGTAATACAGGAGTTCATTCCAACTCAAAGGACCTTTGGGGCCCTTTTCACGCAACTGATGTTTTAGCTTATGTTCCAATCCGGAAATGGTTTTGGAATGGAAAAGAAGAACTGTCATCAACAGAAAAAAGATTGCAACCTCTTAAACTTGTTGATACTGGGATTCGCTTACCTGCAAAAAACGGCTGGGGTTTCTTCGCGCCTTTCAAAACTATAGCTGATGGTGTCCTTCATCCATTTGGAGATATTTCTCAAATTAATCAAAAGTCATATGAAACAGGTGAATCCACAAGCAAAAACGATTTATATGGTAGATTCGCTCCAGATCCTGTTTCACCTGATAGGCGTCCAGTGATGGGTGTAAAATTACATGCTAATACAGAAGAAAGATTACAACCTCTTGAAGTTTCTGATACAGGTGTTCGCTTACCAGAAGAAAACAATTATTGGTGTGAATTTCATCCTCCTGCTATGGGCGCCACTGGTGGTCGCGATATTAAAGTTGATGTAAGTAACCCAGAGATGCTCAACCACGCTATAGAAAATGGTGTATGCGATGGTTTAACTCCTATTGAGTGTATTAAGAAACTTTTTGGTCCAGGCAAAGGCAGCCCAGTTTATGAACAAGATGAATCGTCATCAATCGAAAACATAAATCAACGTGATAAAGATTCTGATGCAGAAGAAAACTTTTGGTGGCTATTTAATCCACCTAAAGCACACGCAGACGAACTTCACAATTCCAAACAGTGAAACTGGATGTACCATTTTTTTACTCATAAATAAAGCGGAAATGTTTTATGAATAATGTTTATTTTTAGAAAATAATTTGTTGAATCATATCTTCATGAAGATTTTCTTCACAAAATACACAAAGAGGTATTATTCCTTCATCGATGCAAGATCCACCTTCTCACACAGACGAAGAAGAGGATTTTCATCAAGAATATGAAGAAATTTCTTAAGGAACAGATTAATTCTAAATAATGTAATTTCCTTGCTCTGCAACAAAACGATATTTTTAGATGATATTTTCAAATGTTTTGCCCCAACAGCAGCTTATGCTGATGAACTTCACAATTCTAAGTCAACTTCTGACACCAAAAGTGAACATTCAACTCCATTCTCAAAAAGAGGTGAAGAAGAATATGCATTGTTTGGCCAGGGAAGACCAAAACATCCATATCTTGGTGAATATAGCGAAAAGTGCAAAGATCAATCATTCTCAGAACAATATCCATCATTATGCAAAGAAGTTAATAGCTTAGAAACAAACTTTGATATGTGGAGTGTTTTCAATCCAACTAAGGTTTCAGGAACTGCTTTACCCTTTAGGAAATGGTTTTTCAACAATAATCAGCAAGAATTTACATCCGCAGACGATCTTCACAATTCTAAATCCAGTCCAAACTCAGATGATCCATCTTGTCAATGGTGTGGCCAAGTTAAATCTAAAGCACAAACAGGATATAAGGAAAGTGTGGAAAATGTTGATCTACCAGAAGAGTGCAAGAAAGATCCTTCTAAATGCAATATTACTCACTATTTATACGAAACGCATTTTGGACAAAGTGTCACTTTAAAAGCGCCTCGCCATGTCAAAAATGATTTGTGGGGAGTCTTTAGTCAAATTCCTACTTCTGCAGATGGTTTTCCTAGTTCAAAATATGCTATTGATGTTAATAGTCAAAAAGAATTACCATCGGCAGAAAAAAGATTGAAACCTCTTAAGCTTGCAGATACAGGTGTTCAATTACATGAAGAATACACTGATAATATCAAGAATTCGAGACCTGTTATTCCAAAGATACCTCGTGTTTTCCCAAGAGCTTTACCAAATGAAAAACATCAGTATCAGGTTAAAAATAAAATGTCTAGATATTGCATTGGTTGTGCCCAGTTTAAGCAAGACCAAGATATACAATTAATGAACAAACTCGGCGAACCAGTCCAATATAAACAAGACAAAGATAAACATGTTATAGATTCTGATGCAGAAGAAAACTTTTGGTGGCTATTTAACCCACCTAAAGCACACGCAGACGAACTTCACAATTCTAAATCTACTCCAAACTCAGGAGAAATCTTTTGTCCGTGGTGTCCCATGGTCACATCAAAAGAACAAGCTAATTCCTTAGACTCTGAATCTCAAGAACAAACAGAAAGCAACCAAGAAATGCAGAACTTCGGTGAAGATATAACAATGTGCCTAGGTCTTCCTTATCCTGAAAATTTAGAGTGTTTACAAATATTAGGACAAGGTCCCGTCAGCCCACGCTCCTTTGAAATTGATCAAGCAGCATATTCATCGAACGAAAACCTAAAGAAACCTGTTAAAGATTCTGATGCAGAAGAAAACTTTTGGTGGCTATTTAACCCACCTAAAGCACATGCAGACGAAACTTCACAATTCTAAACAAACTATTCCAAAGAGGCCTTGTGCTGTTCCAAAAAATTTACCTGTTGAAAAATCAGAGTATCTGTCTAATGATTTTGATCTAGACAAAAGTATTGAAGACGCCAGTGAGCGCCAAAAAATATTGGCTGACTTTTCACAAGCGAGAACTTTAATAAACAGACAAGAAGAATTGCCACCAACAGATATAAGTTTGAATGAAGGTGATACACATGAATTCGACTAAAAAATAATGCGGAAATGAATAATGAATCGTTTTAAATATTAAATGCAACAATCTGAGTAAAAATAAAAAAAATAATCATACAAAAGGAAGAAACCTTTTTAATTTGGTATCTCGAAAAGAAACAAAAATCTGCTGTTCAAAATGCAACAAAATTTCAAGATCTTGATCTAAAATTATGATATTTATAAAGTCTAAGAAAAGTAAAACTCTACAATGTCGTACATTCTTCAAAATTATGAAAAATTATTGAAATTAGGGACTGGAATTTGCAGTTTCACACTGTAAACTTTCTGTTTAATTTGTATCGTTGACTGGGCTTTAATTTTGCTATCTAAAGCTATTTTTTCACTTGCTAAATTAAAAATTATTGTTAAAATTTGAATAAAATCGTGGTCGGTATGATAGAAACCAAAGGCGGGTTTTATGGTTTGATTTTTACAAAGAATTTGAAATGTAATGTCAGGATTGCAGAATGATAAATAAATTTAAATCAACATTATCTCTATAATACATCAATTACAAACTCTTTTATGTTATAAACTTCACAAAATAAAGATTTTGATACAAACCGCAAAAGTTCTTATCTCAATTTTGAGTGAAAGTTTTTCTGGAAAAAAATTTATATATAAATATATCTGTATATTGTAATTTGTTAATTAGTTATCAATTGAAAATGATTTCGGTTTTGACAATTTTTTTTCATGTTTTTCTTTCTTTGTTTAAATCAAGCTATTGTTGATGATATTTTTACCCCGCGTAGCATGGATTCTCAAGCAAATCCGATTTCATCCACTCCCAAGCAAAATCAAGCCACAACGGAGATAAATTCAGAAAATAAAATTTCCGTCGAAAATTTGAAACCACTTAAACTTATTAATACTGGCTTTAAGTTACGCACAGACAAGCCTCTCTTCAGACACTTCTCTCCCAAAGACACAATGGCGTATGATGATCGTCTTCAACAAAGAACAGTTTTTACTAATACCAAAAACAGACCCTCTATCGCAGGTAAACGTCCTCAACCTCGTTCTGTTTTAAGAGTTTTACCAGTTGAAAAACAAGAATCTGAAATAAACCAAGAAGAGTCACCATATTGCATTGGATGTGGTATGTATCTACAAAAAGAAGAAGTTAAACCATTAGCTTCATTCACACCAAACATGGTTAACCTTGCTGATTATCTGGAAAAGTGCCAAGATCAAAGATTCTCTGAAAAATATCCATCTTTATGCAAAGAAATTGATACTTTAGAATCAAACTTTGATTTGTGGAAATACTTCACTCCAAAAACAAAAACATCTGCAGCACCTTCACGTCGTTACAAAGATTCTTATTCATATTTTGTTAACAGTCAGGAAGAATCACAAACAAACGAAGTCTTAGATAAAGAAATATGTCCATGGTGCGGCTTTACATCACCAAAAGATCAAGCTAATTCCTATTTTGTTAAAAGTCAGGAAGAATCACAAACAAGCAAACAAACATTACAACCCCCATATACCAACATTGAACAGACAACTCAAAAAGACACTGCACCATCAAAAGATCAACTTTTACTTGAAGAACAAACAGAAAAAACAGAAGAGCCAGTTGATTACCCAAGTCAACAAACGTGCACCAATGCATCGGATTGTGCTGGTTTGCTTGGACAAGGATCAGCCTTCTATTCCCCTGGTCGTCCAAAAGATTCGAAACTTTATAAATCTTTAGATACAGGTGATCATTCACAAACAGGAAAACATTCTGAAAAGCATCAACGTATGAAATTCATTTCAGATACCAACAGTGAACATTCAACTCCAAATTCAGATGGAACAATTTGTCCATGGTGTGGCATTATATCACAAAAAGAACAAAATGCCAGAGCAACTATTCCAAAGTTATCACGTCCTAGTTTAAGAACTAATGATTTGTCTTCTTATGCAAAAAATTGCAAAAACTTAACATTCTATCTACAACATGTTCAACAATGCAATTCATTAGGCATTTTTGGTCCGGATAAAGCCAAATTTGAAGATGATTCCAAATCCATGAAGAAATCCCATAAAGAATCTGATATAGATGTTCATTCACCAGAAGAAAACTTTTGGTCGCTATTTTTCCCACCTAAAGCACACGCAGACGAACTTCACAATTCTAAATCTAACAGTTTCAGTACACTTGGAGATAAGTGCAAAGACCCAACTTTCTATAAAGAACATACTTATCTATGCATGTCATTAGGCTATTTCATTCCTACTAAAGTCCATGCCGCAGGTAAGCGCCGTCCAGGATTAGATGTTCTTAATGGTCAAGAAAAGAAACCTCTTCAACTTGTTGATACCGGTGTTCGTTTACCAGAAGAAAACAGTTTATGGAAGGAATTTGATCCAGATGATGTATCCGCTCACTATCCACGTATTCGTCATGCTGATATTTATGATGTTAATGGTGATGATTTCTGCAAATTATTCCCTAAATTGTGTGAATTATTTGGTCCAGGCAAAGGCAGCCCAGTTTATCTTCAAGATGAAATTCCATCAACTGAAAAGCTAAATAAACCTGTTAAAGATTCTGATGCAGAAGAAAACTTTTGGTGGCTATTTTTCCCGCCTAAAGCACACGCAGCCGAACTTCACAATTCTAAACAAACTGTTCCAAAGAGACCTCGTGTTTTGCCAAGAGTTTTACCAGTTGAAAGACAAGAGTCTGAAACAAACCAAGAAGAACCACCATATTGCATTGGATGTGGTATGTATCTACAAAAAGAACAAAACAAAGAATCATATTCATTCGAACCAAACATGGTTAACTTCATTGAATATTCAGAAAAGTGCAAAGATCAAACATTCTCTGAAAAATATCCATCATTATGCAAAGAAATTGATATTTTAGAATCAAACTTTGATTTGTGAGAATTCTTTAAACCATTCAAGACTGCAGGCACTATTATCCGCCATTAAAAATAGCCTATAAGAAGACAAACAAGATACACCTAATTTTAACTAAAATTTAAAGCAGAAATAATAAATTATGAATCTTCGACATTTTTTAAAATTCAAAATTATTAAATATGTTAAACTGAGTAAAAATATAAAACAATCATATATATAGGATGAAGAATTTTTTTTAATTTGGTATCTCGAAACCAAACTGTTAATGCTGCTGTTCCAAATGCAACATAATTTCAAAATCTTGATCTAAGATTGTGATATTTAGAAAGTTTGGGAATATTATAACTCATGGATGTCTTACATTCTTCAAAATTATGAAAAATTATTGAAATTTTGTATTGAAACTTGCCGTTTCACGCTGAAATGTTTCTGTTTATTTTGTATCGTTGATTAAACTTTAATTATTCTATCTAAAGCAGATTTCTCAATTGCTAAATTAATAATTATTGTGATTCCTATAATAGAAATCGTGATTCCCATAATAGAAATTAGTAAAAGTTTTTTATGGTTTGATTCTATATCAAAAATTCTGAATTAATTGTCAGTTTTACAGATGGATAAATAAATAAATTTAAATCGGTGTGATCGGTATTATAAGTTGATGTTTTTTATGTTATAAAGTTTTGAGTGCAAGTTTTTCTGGAAAAAATTTTATATATAAATATATCTGTATATTGTAAAAAAAAAAAAAAAAAAAAAAAAAAAGGTAGTGGGGCTTCCAGGGGCTGCGCCCCTTCTAGCCCTGAAGATGTTTAGTATAAATGAAGTTTTTATTCGGAGGGCTTCCAGGCGCGTTACGCCCTGAAGATGTTTAGTATAAATGAAGTTTTTATTCGGAAAATTGTTAGTCTTCTTGGTCGAAAACATTATATAATGTTTCACTTTTCACAAATTATATATGTTTTCATGCTTTGTCACTTTTCTGTCACTTTTCAGGAAAAAACATTTTTATTATTATATATAAATGAATTTTACAAAACCACCGTTACCCTTCTTTGGAAATAAGAGTAGATGTAAAGATATTCTATTGAGAGAACTTAAGAAACTACCGAATGGTCTAACATTTGTAGATTTGTTCGGTGGAAGTTTCTATATATCCCATTTGTGCCATACAATATTCCCAGACTCAAAGATTATATGCAATGACTTCGACAACTATATGGACCGTCTCAAACATATACCAGACACAAACAATATATTGAAAGAGTTAAAAGAAAAGATACCTATAGGTAAGATGGAACGTATACCATTAGATAAGAAAAATATTGTGAGAGAGGTTTTGAAAAAAGCAGAATATATAGACTGGGATAGTATATCTGCTAGACTATTATATAGTGGTGCTATAAGAGTTCATGACATTGAAACACTTATGTCAAAAGTTTTATATCTTAACTATACAAATGTTTTCAAAGAGGACATAGAAAAATATATTGAGGGTATAGAGTTTGTGAGATGTCATTGGACAGAGTTGTATGAAAAATATAAAGACAAGGAAAATGTTTTCTTTATAGTGGACCCGCCGTTCTATAACACATGGGATTTTCAATACCAAGTAGACTGGACTTTGAGAGACTCTTTAGAAACTTTAGACGTTTTACATAACCATCCATGCTTTTACTTTACATCCGATAAAAGTGGTTTGGAAAGTGTCATGAAATGGTTAGAGGACATACATGACTATGAGTTTAGATATGACAAGATAGAATATGAGAGAGGTCCTATAAACTGGAGAAAGTGTCATAACAAAGAAATTTTATTAGTAAGTAAATGTGGTTTGAAATAGGACTACTTGTTTTAGGTTTTTTCCATTGTGTCATTTATTTATTTGACGTGGCAGAAAA